TTGTGTTGACTGTGCCGAGACTTTGTCCTATTCTCCTACTCTCTCCCAATGGTTAAAATTCTGACACTTAACGTACAGGGTTTAAATAATCCATATAAAAGATCCATGGTATTTGAATATATTAAAAAAGAGGGAGTAAAAATAGTATTGTTACAAGAAACTCATTGGTTAAGGAAAGATACAAAAAGATTTATTCCTAATACTTTTAATATCAAAATATGTTCTTCATTAGAGGATAAAAGAAAATGTGGGGTTGCCTGTTTTGTAACCAGTGATATAGACACACAGATTATATATCAGGGCACAGATAAAAATGGAAGATACACTATAGTAATATGTAAAATACAAAATGAAGTATATACAATAGCGAATTTATATGCACCTAATGATAAACCTATTGGTTTTATACAAATAGTACTAAACAAAATAGATAATATTAAAAAGGGAAAGGTCCTTATAGGGGGAGACTTTAATTGCATTATGGATGAAATTCTAGATAGAAATTCATTTGGAGGGGTTATCCAAAATAAAAAAAGTAAAAAAAAACATCAAACCAGCTTAAACTTTTAGTAGGTAGACATGGTTTGTTAGATATATGGAGAATTTACCACCCCAAAGAAAGGACTTGCTTTTCAAAAGTTCATTATACATATTCTAGGTTAGATCTATTCTTGGGTACAGATGAGATATCACTTAAGATAAAGAAGGTTCTAATTCAGGAAGTCACTTGGTCAGACCATAACCCGGTTATATTAGACCTTAATATAAGCCCAGATATTAAAATAAGGAACAGTTGGAGGCTAAATGATCTCTTATTAAAAAATCCTCAAAAAATAGAGAAAGTAAAAGAATTAACAAAATGTTTCTTTGAAGATAACCAAAATAAAGGTACATCAGATGTAATAGTATGGTGCACCTATAAGGCAGTTCTGAGAGGGCACTTTATCAAAATGAGTTCAATAAGAAATAAGAGTAGAAGTTCCTCCTTGACAGACCTATATATTTCTTTAAATGCTTTAACAAGGCTTAATAAAGATAATCCCTCCAAACAAATGAGTGAGAAAATAGATAAAATTAAAGATAATATTAATGAAATTCTATGGCAGCAAACCTCCGAAAAATTGGAACGCTTAAGAATAAAATGGTATTACAGAGGTAACCGGGCAAATAAAATGCTTACAAATAAAGTTAAAGGATATAGAATGGCCACGATGAAACAGAAAATTATAACTGAGGAAGGGCCACAACTAACCCCTGAAAAAGTTGGTAAAGCATTTAACTCTTTTTATCAAGAGCTATATAACTTGCCTAACCAATTCAACAATCCAGAAACATATTTTAAAAATAAAAAGATGAAACAGCTATCAGCAGAACAGGTTAATAGTATCAACAAACCTTTCACTGAATTAGAGATTAAGGAGGCAATAGATATGTTAAAAAAGAATTCAACTCCAGGCCCGGGTGGCTATCCTAATATATTTTATAAGCAATTTAAGGAAGAATTGGTGGTCCATTTGAAAAATGTATTTAATAAAATTGTGGAGGAAAAGGTCATCCCGGAGGAAATGCTATATGCAAATATTATCCCTATACATAAGCCAGATAAACCACCAGATCAAGTAAGAAGTTATAGACCTATTTCTCTGCTAAATTCGGATATAAAGATATATGCTAGCATCCTAGATAACAGGATGCAAACTGTCTTACCTTACTTAATTCATAAAGACCAGGTCGGTTTCATAAAAGGTAGACTCTCCAGCAATAGTGTGAGAAAAATAATCGATATTCTAGACAGCATTAACGATTCAGGAGTCCCATATCTGGCCCTGTCATTGGACACAGAGAAAGCATTTGATAGGGTCAGGTGGGACTTCCTGATAGCATCTATGAAGGCTTTTGGTTTTGGTGGATGGCTAATGGATGCTGTAATGGCCTTATATTCCTACCCAAGGGCTAGAACTATAGGGAGAGGTATAATATCTGACTGGTTTAAAATAAGCAACGGGACGAGACAGGGATGCCCTCTCTCGCCGCTGCTTTATTTGTTATATATCGAACCTCTAGCCTGTGAAATTAGGGAAAACCTAAAGATTAAAGGAGTCAGAATAGGTCAAGAAGACTACAAATTATCACTATATGCAGACGATGTCCTAATCTCCATTACAGACCCTGTACCATCATTGGATGAATTGATGAAAGTTATAACTGAATTTGGAAATTACTCCAATCTCAAGTTGAATGTAGATAAAACAACTATATTAGCAAAAAATCTAAGTAAGGAAGATAGAGGGAAGATTGGGAATAAATATGACTTCACTTGGGCTAAGAAACATTTGCAATATCTAGGTATTAAAATAACAAGTAACCCAAATAAAATCATAGAGAACAATATTTTCCCTATGATGAAACAAATAAATAAACAACTTAAAGACTTAAGAACTGCAGAGATATCATGGATTGGGAGAATAAATGTTATAAAATCATACTTAATGCCCAAATTGAGCTATATATTCTGCATGATACCTCTTAAAATTCCAAAACCATGGCTTACAATGATAGACAGCTTTTGAGAAGTTTATATGGCTGAAAAAAAAAAAACTGAGGGTGAATAAAAAAATACTAAATATGAATTCCAAAAAGGGTGGGTTGGGGGTCCCAGATATTCTAGAGACATATGAGACATTGGCTCATTTAATTATATCGTTAAAGGAGAGCTCCGCAGAGGAAGCCTGGGCAAAAATAGAAGCTACAAGACTGGGATCTCCAGACTTATTAGCTATATTTTGGAGTCTACAAAAGAGAAATAACATAAATATAGGCCTAATTATGGATAATTTATTATTGCAGCGGGAAAAATTGGAAAAAGAGTCTTAAGATACTGGATAAAATAAGTACGGATATACCTTTCAACATTTTGACAGTCAATATAGAAGATTTAAATATTAAAAAAACCTGGACGTACAATGGTATTAATAATATAGATCAAATAATGCAACAGAATCAAATTATGTCTTTTGAGGACATTAGGCAGTTATTTTTTCTTCCTTATAGAGAGAATTTTACATATTTAAGGATAAAGCATTTTTTACACAAACATAGGGTCATAGAGTCATCTGAAGGATTACATCTATTCATGAATCTAATTAATTCTAAAAGTAATAACAATTTAGTATCACATTGTGCTAAATTATATAAATTATATAAATCAAGCACAATATTTCCAGCCCTTGTATCTTGGGAAAAAGACCTACAGGTTACTATTACAAGAATTGAGTGGATAAATGCAAATAATGCTGTAACTAAGGCTATTCATTGTTTAAATTCAATTGAAAGTCATTATAAGATTATTAATAGATGGCATTATGTTCCCACTAAATTGGTAAAAATTTACCCATCCTCTCAATATAGGTGTTGGAGATGCGGCACATATAGAGCAGACTATGTCCACATCTGGTGGTCTTGCCCAAATCTAAGTCAACTATGGAATAAAGTAGCAACATTTTGTCAAGAGGTGATAAAAGTAGATCTTGACTTTACCTGTAGGTCTTTTGTACTCTAGGGTTGGCCTAGAATTTCAAGAAGTAAAAAAGATATAGTGATTCACATCTTAACTAAAGCAACATTAGCGAGATATTGGAAATTATCCGACTCCCCCTCTTGGGATATGATAAAATATCAGGTCCTGAACCATTGCAAAATGGAGATTGGAATCCTGAGACAAGATAACTATACTAACTCTAGAATAGAACAATGGGAGGAATGGGTAAAAAAATTAAGTCCTACATAAGGAAAATAATAGTATCTATTATTCGATCTTAGCACAGTATGTATATCGGACATTACTGTTAAATACAAGTAGTGAATAATAAATTTTTTATTTTTTTTTATTTTTTTTTAGAAGAATTCAAGATGATAAACTCAGTATGACAAATAACTAACGAACATAGAGACAGATTAGAAAAATGTCTTAATAATTTTACATCTTAGAGAGCTAACACTGTTGATATGTTCATAAGGTTGTAATGTTTCTATATTTTGCATCTCTATATAAAGCCATTTTGTGGCTATTTATAGCGTAAACCTTATTTAAAAAAAAGGGAAAAGAAAAGAGAGAAAGTAGCAGAAAAGGGAAAATAAAAGGGGAAAATATCAAGCCCTATAGTAAGGCACTATATGTCAGGATTTATAGATCTCGGCACAGTACGACTTTATGTTTGTCTTTTTGTTTATATGGTTTGTCATAGACAGTGAATATCTATATAAGGTTCTTTCAAGTCGAAGTGAAGACACTAAATTTGGTATGTCGTCTTATTTATAAATAAGGTGATAATTAAGGGTAATAAATTAAAAATTTGGTATCTTAGAGTGCTAGAACTGTCTGAATGTATTTATTGTCTTATTGTCTTCTGTTTATATTTTTAAATGTAAGTCTTTTATTGTGTATTGTGATAAATTTTCGAAAAATAGTAAATAATGAAATATATAAAAAAAAATGGGTCCAGCATGACAATGACCCAAAACACACAGCCAAGGCAACAAAGGAGTGGCTCAAGAAGATGCACATTAAGGTCCTGGAGTGGCCTAGCCAGTCTTCAGACATTAAGCCCATAGATAATCTGTGGAGGGAGCTGAAGATTGAAGTTGCCAAACGTCAGCCTCGTAACCTTAATGACTTGGTAAGGATCTGCAAAGAGGAGTGAGATAAGATTCCTCCTGAGATGTGTGCAAACATGGTGTCCAACTACAAGAAATGTCTGACCTCTGGGATTGCCAACAAGGGATTGCCACCAAGTACTAAGTGGAATGGGTCAAATACTTATTTCATAAATTTTTGGTTATTCTGTCTCTCACTGTTAAAATACACCAACCATTGGGGGCGTGTCCATCAAGAGAGCGGAGCAGTCGCATGGCGTAACTGCTCCTGGTACACCGAGCCCATAAAGTAGCATAAAATACTGTATATTGCCGGAATTTTCTCAAGCCAGTTGCTCTTATCTAAGTGACGCTCATGGCACCATCAAAACAATTGAAAATTACGGACCCGGTCTGCCAGAGTGCCAAAAAAGTCTGTCTCAAGCTGCAAGATGGCAATTACCACGCGGAGCACTCACCAGCTTCAGAGAGTCCATCGGAGTCAGACCCACTGGCATCCCCGTCTGAAGAATCTCCGGTCATGGACAAAAGCTTGTAAGCCATGCTATTGAGCTTACAAACAACGCTGCAAGCAAACTTCCAAAAATTAGCCACAGATCTCTGCAAAGAGATGGCGGACCTGGGAGGCAGAACATGCCATCTTGAACACAAGAAGAACTCTGTGTGGCTCATAAAGAGGTCATGAACAGACTGCAATGGCTGGAAGATTGACCAAATTGCTTAAGGCAGCGGACATCGAAGACAGGGCAAAAAGGAATAATATCCGCTTTCGGGGCATTGCTGACTCTGTGTCCAACGAGGAGCGGCCGAAATTCCTCCTAGCCCTCTGCAAAGCTCTGGTGCTGCATTTGGAAGACACCGCTTGGGCCTTCGACCGCGTGCACCATATGCCGAGGCCGCAAAGGTTTACTGCAGACACCCCGTGAGACATGATAGCCCGCTTTCATTACTTCCATTCCAAAGATCAACTCTTCAGTGCTGCACAGAAACTCCCCTGCTTGCCAGAACCGTACCAGGGCATTAATGTGTTCGCCGACCTCTCAGCTACGAAGAAAGGAGTTCATAAATGTCACCAAGACCCTCCGTAACCACAAGATACGTCATCTCATCAATTAAAAAAAAAATTTCATTGATGAGGTGCCGTCATAAGAAAGACATAGCTCAGGCGTACTGGTGACTTCTGCACCGTATGAAAACCTTATGTTCATTATCAGTTAGAATCTGGTGTTAATGTGTTATGTTACAACTGCTGTGCACGATATTCATAAGTATGCTCGCTGATATGTAATCCCAGATTAATACCGCAGACATTCTCATGTCCCTTACTAGGCAATGGCACAGCACAGCTAGCCATTACCTGCTCCCTAGCATCTCACTTCACGAGACACGGTAACTGATCAAAGGGACAACATTACTTGCCCCTGGATTATCAATACGTGCACTTTGGTCAAATCTTGAAACTTGTGATGTTGATGCAGTAAATGGGACAAACACAATGGGTAGGACCTATTTCTGGAGGAGCATACCCCCACATGCCCACACAGCACATTTACAAGCACGCCCAGGGTCAAACCATCTCCAGATATTTTCTAAATAGTACGGTCTCAGCGCATATTACGGGCAGACTCGGTGACTGCTCATAAATACCACCCCCTGAACGCTGATGGGATGCTCTGATGAGCACCTTCCCCTCGGTCGTTCTCTGTGCATAGTCTGCATATACTTTATTTCATGTTTAGTTTGCTGTTATAATTTTATTTTTTAATTTTTTTGTAAATTTTTATTTTTGAAGAGCAGGCAGTGTCACAACAACAGCTGCGTGCACAGTAGTTAAAGACATAGTTAAACAGCAGTGCGACATACTAAAGCAGGTAGTAGCACAATTTTTATAATTTTCTTGAGTGATGCAAGAACTAAAAGTGAATATGTAACAGGTTAGAATATATTAGGTGGTGTAACCTTGCCAGAGCCGCTTCTGGTGGCCTGTATGGCCGTATTGTCATCTGTCCCTGTCCTCCTTAGCTTTGGGTGGGGTTGGGGACAAGCTCTAGGGGCGTGCGCTCTAGCGGCTAAAGGCAATAGTGGTATGTGGCATGGTTTAATGACTCCTTTACCCCAGAGTCTGGGGGGGGGAGGAAGGCCATCCGCCTAGCTCCTGAGTGGGGTTTCGTGACATTGGTGCCGTGGGCTTAATGATACTATATGTATAGTGGTTCCTTAACGTGAGATATCAGTCTACACGATGAGAAATTAGGTTGTTAATAGTAAACCATAAGTAAATCAGATAGAATACCAAGAGAAATAAAAATGCAAAACAAACACAATAAAGCAAAGCATAACACGTAGATGTGGGAGCCAAGCTCCAACTCGCCCAATATGTGACAACACCAGGATGGAGGTTTTTGTTGCAATGTCTCTCTATCCGACGACTGCTCAGTCGGTTCAAGTTACCCAGGGCTGCACTGGCCCCTGTCCCACTGGTGTTATCTGTCCCGCAGGGGTAAAGTCTGGAACGTTAGCTACGTCCCACTTGTGTGGAGGTCTTGTCTTGGCCCCTGCCTTCTGTTGGATGCCCAGCGCCTGCAGAAATTGTGGAGCCTCTTCCGGTGATGCCAGTCGGTGGTTGTGCCCATCTCGCATAGCGATAAGAAGCCTTGGGTATCCCCATTTATATGGTATCTCTGCTGTTCTTAGTTGTGCCGTGGTTTCTTTTAAGGATGCACGCCATTGTAGCGTCTGGCGGCTGAGGTCTTGATAAAAGTTCAGGTTGAGGTCTTCAAATGCAAATGGGGTCTGGCCCCTGACGGCCCTGAGAAAGCCATCCTTGTCTGCACGGGTTTTGAAGTTCAATATGACATCTCTTGCTGAATCAGGTGCGTTGCGTTGGCGTCCCGGTATGCGAAATAGGGTTATGCTTTTGGCCTGTTTGGGTGGCAGGGCGGCCTGGAGCATTCTCTTAATGAGATGCGGTAGTTCCTCTGTTGTTACGGTGTCTGGGATCCCCCTCACCTTGAGGTTTTTTTGCCTTGCTGCATCCTCCAGCTGCCCCATTCGGGTGTTCATCTGCATGCACATGGCTGTTAGTTCCAGCGTTTGATTGGCGGTAGCTTCTTGCTGGGCTTTCAGGTCTTGGACCCCGGCTTCTGCAGTTTGTATTCGGCCCGTGAGCGTATTCAGCTCAGACTTGAGGCCTGCGAGTTCTGCCGCGAAAAAAGCCTTGAGGTCTGTCACCATCCCTGACAGGTCGACCTTAGTGGCTAGTTGGTGGTCAGGTTGTGTCGGCGGTGCATTCTGCAGCCTCCATTGGGGTATCTGGGTTGATATGTCACCAAGGTATTCATCGTCCGATTCCGAAAGTGACTCCATCCCCATGTCGTGGTAGGCGTCCGCCATCTTGGGCCTACATGCTTGGGACAGGAGCTGCCCGATATCTTGTGTGTGGCCCGTGTTTTGCCCTCTGGGTTTTTTGGAGTGCTTCCCCATTGCTTGGTGTATCCTCCGTAAGTGATTTGTCGGTATCTAGAGGCTTTTTGGGTGAGCCGTGAGGCTTTTGTAGAGCAGTTCTGCCGGAGCTCGGGTGCCATGCGTCTTGTCAGCTCAGCCACTAGCCCTGCCCCCCCGTTATAATTTTATTTATCGTTACCCTCTACTTACACTATCCCTCACATTGCCTTTATACACCCGGCACCTCATGCACCGAGGCTCAACTGGTCTACACAGGTGAAACCAAAATGGACCACACAACTATTAGGTGCAAAGCATGGAACTTTAGGAAACGGTGATGGGAGAGTGAGGCATCCCCCCCTTAAAAAGTATGGCTGACCCACTATTCAAAATCCTTTCACTCAATGTTAAAGGGCTCAACAGTCCACACAAACAGCTGCTTCCCATCCAAGAAATGCACAAGTTCCATGCCACAGTGGTCTTCTTTCAGGAGACTTATTTCTGCAAATTACCCAAATTACAAACTAAAAAATACCCACACACATTTAATGCATTCTCCCCCCATATGTCAAAGGGAGTCTCCATTTTCTTCCATTCGGACTGGGCCTTCAATTTAAACAAACAGTACACCGATGAACAGGGCAGTTTATTGATAGTGGTGGAGACATTGAACGGAATTCAGGTTACAATTGTATCGCTCTACGCTCCCAACAACGCACAAGCCGACTGTCCCTACTCCTGGTAACTCCGGCTTTAGCTGGGGATCTGGGCCGGCTGTCCAGCATCCCTGTAGGGCCAGTGGAGAGACTTTGGTCCCACCTCCACAAGTCTATGAGGTCCCCTACTTTGGGTACCTCCAGCTGCCACTGGGGAGAGAGGCTAACATCCTCTGATGTAAAGTCAATTAAACCTGTGGGCACCTCTTCCCAGATCAGTGGCTCTCTTGGCTTGTCTCTCAATGGTCACCTGGTTCCAGATTGCCTGGAAGGTCTCCATCGACACGTTAGAGCCATACCATGCCAGTCGCTGCCGCACCTCGAACAGCAACTCTGAGCAAGAGTCAGAAGATGCCATGCTTGCCTGATCCATGTCTGTGGGCACCTCTTCTTCCAGGGCACGAATGCTAGGGTTGCCCTCAATATAGTCCACACGTTACCGGTGTCTCCAGGTGGCTCCTCGCACTAGGAAGCCATCACGACCGGGTTCCTCTGCCAATCAATGCTCCTAGTGTTCACCGAGGACTCAAAGCACTCCACCAGACACCATAAGCATCGTAGACCCCACAAACCACAGCATCTTGGTTGGGGTCTCGCCATCCTCCACGCACCCTGGACCCAAGACCAGAACCCAGCCTCCAGTGAGTGAACCTCTCCTACTCCAGAGAGCATAGCAGGAACAGCTCTTATAAGAGCTAGTGATTAGAACCCATGGGAGTATAAGGGGTATAGCAATCCCCAGAGTGAATATAGCTGCCCCCTCCACACATGAGACGAGGCTCTATGTTGAGGGTGTAGAGGAACTGGTTTAACGGTAGCCACACTGGCCTTATATGACAATCCCCATGCAAGGGTTACGCCCACATGGACCAATAATAATAGTGTTACAATGCATGACACTCTCATATACAATACAATAAGCCTTCCCCTTTACTTAGGAGATAATTGAGTCAAGCACTATACTAAACTCAATTATCTCAAACACAAAAAACACACATTTTTAGAAACCCCCCAAAATACCTTAAAATACATAAGATCTCCACAAAAGTCACATCCCCTGATAGCCCTGATCTGGGTGACCAACATTTCCAAAAATCACCCAGATCAGTTCAGGGGTTCAGGAATTTCCTTGAAGTTATAGTTTTCACCGACCGCACTCATAGTCCCATGCCCAAAACGGTTCTATAGAATTGTGGCTAAGTGCCACTGGCGACCGCCCGGAACCGTGAAGTCTTCATGCTGAAAATAGTTTCTAGAATCGCAGCTTAGTGCCGCTTAGGGACCAACCGAGAACCGCAAAGTCTACATGACGAAAATAGTTCCAGGGCATTCGCGGCTAAGTCCACCTGCAGGAAGTCTATTGGTGGTTTTGGTCCAG